AAACGTGCCCAGGAATGGAGTTCTGGGAACTCGAAGACCACGAAGTGGCCTACAATTGGCTCTGGGCATTCAAAATCATGCCCAGGAATGGAGTTCTGTGAACTCGAAGAACACGAAGTGGCCTACAGTTGGGTCCGGGCATTCAGAATGTGGCCCGGGAATGGAGTTCTGGGACCTCGAAGACCACGAAGTGTGAAACTGTTTGTTTAAAACGACTTCCGCGGATCCCTGTCCGGATGCCGCCCAGACCCCCCTGGGGAGTCATGATGCTCTCTTTTGACCCTCTTAGAAACCTATTAGTCTTCGCTGTTAGGTGAAACAAACATCTACGTAAACATGACCTGTTTAAGATCCGCTCGGATTTCTTTGGTCGGCGCTGGGCCCCCTGGCGCCGCCCCTTGCGCGTTCCGCGCATCTGGGTGAGGGATCCAGCGCCGAGTCAAGAATTCCGCGCGGGCCTCCGAGAGTTTATGCTTATGCTTACAAGCGGGAGCTTTTGGTTCGCGTGTCGATCTGTCGGCTCTGGCCCACCACGCCTCGGCGCGACAAGCTATCCACTTCGCGGTCCCCAGGCGTCCACATGCTGAGTTTCTCCCAGCCTCCCACCCCGCGGAGCGGAGCGACACGCTATCCGCTCGCTAGGTACTGCGTGTCGCCGGGGTCGCCGCCGCGACACGCTATGCAAAAGTTCCTGACCGTACGTTGTGGCTTCTTCTGAGTATGAATGTCTTCTCCCGCTTCGTGTGATCGCCGCGCCAGGTGCTGGCCATGTTCCGGCTCCTGGGGCAGCTGGTGGCGAAGTGCATGCTGGACGGGCGCTTGGTGGACCTGCGGTTGCACCCGCTGTTCTGGCGGATGGCTCCGCCTCCGCTGCAGTCGTTGTCGCTGTCGCCGACGAGTTCCGACGGAGTGGAGGGAGGAGGAGGAGTAGGAGGAGGAGGAGGAGGAGGAGGAGGAGTAGTAGGAGGAGGAGGAGGAGGAGAAGTTGGTTGTCCCCTGTCCGTGGGGCCCGACCAAGGGGGGCTTGCGCCATGGGTCGCAGCGACGGCCCGGCGCGCGCGAAGCCGAGGGCAGCGCTCGCATGCGGATTCGGGCCCATTCGGAACACCCAGTACACGTTTCGTGGCCCCATGGCGAGCCCCGCTGTGAAGGCCCGCAGCGACAGAGAAGGCGTTCGGACTGCGGTCCGTTTGGTGCGCACCTCTCGCGCTTCGTGGCCCCGTGGGGAACTCCACCGAAGGCCCCGGTGGCAGCTCTCGCGTTATGGCCCCGCTCCATGCTGGGCACACCCCTCAACACGCTTCGTGGCCCCACAGGGAGCTCCACCGAAGGCCCCAGTTGCAGCGCTCGCATGGCTCGAACCGCATCATCCAACGTGTGGCGCGCTTCCTTTGAAGAGAAGACATACCGCATGCCACTCGAATTTTGATCGCCCATCTCCGATGGTTGGGTCCTTCGTCTGACTGCGCCCCCCGTTGTCCCTCTCTCTCTATGTGTGTTACTCTCCCTCTTTATCCTTCTCTTCCTCCCTCTCTTTCTCTTTCTCACATATCAGCTGCCTCACCCCCGCCCCCTCTGACCCCCCGTAGCTCATGCCCCCCCCCCCTCTCCCGCCCAGCCCGCCCCGCCCCTCCGCCATCCTCTCCTCCAGCGGCACTCCTCCTGCCTCCTCCTTCGGCCCCGCTCCCACCGCCTCCCCCATCCCATCCCCCTCTCTCATCCGTCATCGCTCTCTCTTTCTCTCTCTCCTTCCTCCCTCGTCCCTCCGTCCTTCCTCCCTCCCTCCCCAGGTTCTTGGCGGCGAGTCGGTGTCGCGGTGCGCGCTGCGGGACGTGGACCCGGAGCTCTTCGCGCGCGTGGACGGCCTGAGAGCCATGAGCGCCGAGGCGCCCTTGCAGAGAGCGGCACGGCGTGGCCGAGCCAAGACGGCAAGGTAGGAGTAGTGCGGTCGCCACCCACAGTCTGGATGGTCGGGGTCACGGACGCGTCGGCGGGCTCGGTATCGGGCGCGTCAGGGGATCGGCCGGGGGCCGCGTCAGGGGAGGGTCGCCTCCGAGGACCTCGTTCGCGGACGTGCCAGGGCCCCGGGCGCGGCAGGGAGCCCGTCGGGGGACGCCCCATGGGGGCCCGCCGAGGGACGCGTCGGGACGCGTGCCCAGGCTCTTGGTCGGGGTGGTGTCAGGGGGCACAGTGCCGTTTTTTATACATGCTCCGCGTGCGGATCATGTATTTAAAATGCAAGGGTTTAGTAGCAAAAACAACGATGAGTTCACGCATACATGTATTCATACATTTATTGATAAAAAATCATAGATTATCCCGGCAAAGCAACCTAACAGCATTGTGTAGAAGCATATCTGGAAACACTCCCCTTAAGATTTAGGTGAGAATCCAGTTGTAGAATTCTGCTGTTCTCGCAGTCGCAGCCTCAGCCTGCCTCGGCTTGCCTCGGCCTCAGCTTCAGCCTGCCTCGGCCTCAGCCTCAGCCTCAGCCTGCCTCAGCCTCAGCCTCAGCCTGCCTCAGCCTCAGCCTGCATCAGCCTCAGCCTCATTCTCAGCCGCAACTTGCCTCAGCCTCAGCCACAGCCTCAGCCTCAGCCTGCCTCAGCTTCAGCCTCAGCCTCAGCCTGCCTCGGCTTGCCTCAGCCTCAGCCTCAGCCTGCCTCGGCCTCAGCCTCAGCCTCAGCCTGCCTCAGCCTCAGCGTCAGCCTCTCAGCCTGAGCCTGCATCAGCCTCAGCCTCTGCCTGCCTCAGCCGCAGCTTGCCTCAGCCACAGCCTCAGCCTCAGCCTCAGCCTCAGCCTGCCTCAGCTTCAGCCTCAGCGTTAGCCTGCCTCGGCTTGCCTCGGCCTCAGCCTCATCCTGCCTCGGCCTCAGCCTCAGCCTCAGCCTGCCTCAGCCTCAGCGTCAGCCTGCCTCAGCCTCAGCCTGCATCAGCCTCAGCCTCTGCCTGCCTCAGCCGCAGCTTGCCTCAGCCTCAGCCACAGCCTCAGCCTCAGCCTCAGCCTGCCTCAGCTTCAGCCTCAGCCTCAGCCTGCCTCGGCTTGCCTCGGCCTCAGCCTCAGCCTGCCTCGGCCTCAGCCTCAGCCTCAGCCTGCCTCAGCCTCAGCGTCAGCTTCTCAGCCTCAGCCTGCATCAGCCTCAGCCTCAGCCTTAGCCTGCCTCAGGCTCAGTCTCAGCCTGCCTCAGCCTCAACCTGCCTCAGCCTCAGCCTCACAGTTGTCTCCGGGCAATCAAAATGTAGCCTGGGAATGGTGTCCTGGGAACACCCAGAACACGAAGTGGCCTACGGTTGGCTTCAGGCATTCAAAATGTGGCCCGGGAATGGTGTTCTGGGAACACGAAGAACACGAAGTGGCTTACAGCTGGCTCCGGGCATTCAAAATGTGGCCCGGGAATGGTGTTTTGGGAACTCGAAGAACACGAAGTGGCCTACAGCTGGCTCCGGGCATTCAAAATGTGGCCCCGGAATAGTGTTCTGGGAGCACGAAGAACACGAAGTGGCCTACAGTTGGCTCCGGGCATTCAAAATCATGCCCAGGAATGGAGTTCTGGGACTCGAAGACCACGAAATGCGTTATTGTTTGCTTAAAACGAGTTCCCCGGCATCCCCCCGGCATCCTCCCCCGGATCGCGCCCAGACCCCCTCGGGGCGTCATGATGCTCTCTCTCTTTTGACCCTACTAGAAACCTATCAGTCTTCGCTGTTAGGTAATTTCAAAAATCCCATGTATTAAACACTGCCCTGTATGCCCCGGTGACGTGTCGTCGGAAGACGCATCCAGGGGCTGGTCCCGTCCTGATGATCGCGCGTCCTCGTTCGGCTCATTGGTCTTCCTCCTCCTCCTCGGCGTCGAGACTCCCCCCCCTTGCCTACTTTTTCCGCGCCCTCATCCCTCCTCCTCCTCCTCCTCCTCCTCCTCCTCCTCCTCCTCCTCCTCCTCCTCCTCCTCCACGTTCGCTCCCCTCCGCTTTCTCCTCTAGCTCCTGCACCCGACCCTCCTCGTCCTCCCCGCCATCAGAAAGCCCCCCTTCTCTCCGCAGTCCATCGAGTCCCTCGCGCTCGACTTCACGCTGCCCGGCCACCCCGACATCGAGCTGAGGCGCTTGGGGGCGCGCCGTTGGTTGGCAGGTATTTGCGACAAGTCAGGGCTCGTCGGCCTCGTCGGGCTCGTCAATGTCGTCGTCCTCTTCCTTCCCTCGTCCTCCTCCACCTCGTCCTCCTCGTCCTCCTCAGCATCTGTTTCCCCTTCTCCACTCCTCCCCCTCCCCCTCCCCATTCCTTCTCCTCATCCTCCCTCTCCTCCCTCTTCTTCCTCCTCACCGTCCTTTCTCCTCCTTCCCCATCCATAGTATCTTCCCCCTCCTACTCTTCCTCCATCAGTTTTCCTTTCAAATAGCTTCTTCCTGTCGCACCCCTTGAAGTGTCCGTAGGCCGGGCTGGGCGTTTCGTGTGAGACGTATCACCCTTACGTATGATCTTGAAGTTTGGAAATTAGGTCAGCTTCTAAGAAGGAACGGGCCGTTTCCAAAATGGAGTTCAGGCTTTGCGCCGCGCACATTTGTTTTCAAAGGTTGCAGTTGCTTCAAGGATGGAGGCTGTTTCGTTTTCAGAATGTGGTTCTCGTTTCAGCGCCGCGCACACTCGTGCTCTAAGTTTGCATGATGTTCGAGTCCATCTTTGGCCAGGAACTGCGCTGGCATGACTCAGGATTGTCAGGGCGCAGCACTCAAGTGCATTCGTGGTCCTGAAGCCCCAGGAATGGTGTTCTGGTGCAGTTCAGGATCGTCGGGGTGCAAAAGTCACGTTGATCCGTGTCGTTGAAGCCCCACGACTTGTGTTGGGGCACGGTGTAGGATTCTCCACTAATTTTGGACATTGAGGGGTGCCCGAACCCGATCAAAATTATAATGTGAAGCGTTTGTTGTACAGTATAGACACGATCTTGTCCTGGCGAGATATCACCCCTTTATGGAGAGTGTGGGAGAGTGGACTTTTGAAAATCTCTTCGAACTATTCGGGCGCATGCTTTTGCATGGGCAGCTTCCTGCAATAAAGGATCCTCTTGCAGGGGCCCATGAGGAGGGAACTTGGAGGGAGAGCTTATCGCAACATCGTCGACGCGCCCTGGGTTTGCACTGGTTCTCCCTTTCCTCCTCCCCCCCCCCTCCCGCCTCGCCGCCCGCCCCCCGGAGGCCCGGAGGGGCGGACGTGCGACTCGGCGCCGAGAACGTGGACGAGTACGTGGCCCTCGTGTCGCAGGCGCCCCCCCTCGCCAGGGAGGTTGGCCGGCCTCCCCTCCCCTTGCCATTCGGCGTCGGGGAACAAAGCGACGACGAGAGTTGCTGACACTCTCTTGTTTTGCGGGGCCCTCGCCGGGCCTCAGGGCCGTCCAAGGATGCTCCGGGAGGAGAATCTGGTCCAGAGGTCGGAAGGGGATGGGACGAGGGCAGCCTCGCTCCCGGCGCGTTCCGGAACGCTCCCAGAGCCCTCTGAGGAGGAGGAGGAGGAGGAGGAGGAGGAGGAGGAGGAGGACGAGGACGAGGGGGAGGGGGAGGGGGAGGGGGCGGGACGCTCCGAGAAGGCCCCGGCGCTCGATACCTCCTCCGGCACCGCCAGCACTCATAGGGTCCTCGAGGCACTCCGGACCCGAATGTTGTCCCCGTCCTGGCTTCGTCTCGCGAGGAGGAGGCCCAGGGCTCCAGAGGCCCCTGCGGCGGCAGCGGGGCCGACGTTGGGGTTCGTGGCCTCCCCGGCGGAGCGGCGGCGGGGCGGAGAGGCGGCCAGCCGACCGCGAGCGGCGAGGGGCCTTGGGAGCGCTGTCGGGAGGAGACAAGGTAACAAGAAAGGCTCCTCCTCCTCCCTCCTCCTCCTCCTCCTCCTCCTCCTCCTCCTCCCTCCTCCTCCCTCCTCCCTCTCCTCCTCCTCCTCCTCCTCCTCCTCCTCCTCCTCCTCTCCTCCTCCCTCCTCCTCCTCCCTTCTCCTCCTCCCTTCTCCTCCTCCTCCTCCTCCTCTTCGGAGGGCGAGCGGCGAGGGGCCTTGGGCTTGGGAGCGCGGCGAGGGGCCTCGGGCGATTACGCTCGTGATCGCCCCCGCCCCTCTCACGTCACGCTGTGTTCCCCACATGTCTCAACAAGGGCTCCCTCGAGGGCGCGAAGTTATTCGCGCTTCGCGGTCCTCGTTCCTTCTCCCCCTCCTCCTCGTCCTCCTCTTCTCCCCCTTGGGGGGCGGCGCGAGGGCGCGAAGTTATTCGCGCTTCGCGCTTCGCGCAGCGCGAAGCGCGAACTTAGGAGCCCTTGCTCAAGGGATCTTCCAGGGTTCCCCGAGAATCTCCTGGGTTTCCTAGGGATTCGTCGTCGTCGCGACTCTCCGCGACCGGGAGGCTTAAGCCGTGTCCAGTAATTTGAATCCGGACAGCAGCAGTAATGAGAGTGCGGGCAACACGATGTTAGCCAGCGTGGACCCGGAGCAGTGATTCCTTGCAGTCCGTGCGGTGCATTCTGGCTGGTGCTATCAACGTGGTGCATTGTAGGATGTGCGCTCCATGTGAGGAGATCTGCGTGGTTCAACCGAATGCAAGGCAACGCGCGGACATGTAGCACAAGACAGCGCAAGGCAAAGCAATGCCACGCAGAGGAATGGAAACCGATGCAGAGCAACGCAGTGGCGAACGCGATTGTGATGCGAATGCGACTGCAGAGCAAAATGCGAGACGTAAGAGTGACCTTTCGCTGGAGTGACCTTTGGTGCGGGCCCAGTAGGGCCCCCCGATCACCGATTGCGATGCGATATTAGCGTCTCGCGCGCCTGAGTTTGATCCCCCCGCGGCCCCCCCAAAGCCGCGCACCAAAGGTCACTCTTACCCAGGATCACTCTTGCGTGTAGCCGACAAGGGGGCGGCGGCGACGGACGGGACCGGGGCCCCCAGGCCGGCCCACGGGCCCCCTTCTGTCAGGAGCGTCGGTGCGGCGACGGGCACGGGGCCGCCCAAAGGGCCGCACCCGGGCCCAGAGCCCCAGAAGAGAAGGAAGAGAACCCCTAATTGATGGGAGAGAGAGTCATTACAGAAAGGAGAGAATGAGCGTACTATATACAGATATATAGAAGAATCATACGAAGAAGAGGAAGAAGAGGAAAAGGGTGAATAGACAGGAGCAGGCACAGGCGCAGGCACAGGTTACCGGAGGGTGTGGGCCCTGACTGTGAGCACATGGGAGCGGGAGCTGGAGAGGGAAGAGAGCAGAGGGGGCACAGCGAGGGGGGAGGGAGGAGGTGAGGAGGGGGGAGGAGGAGGGGGGGGGGGGGGGGGGGGGGGGGGGGAGAAGGGATGGGGGGCAACGACGAGGGTGGGAGGGGGGGGGTGGGGGAGGTGGGGGGGGCAGACGAGCCAGGAGAGAATCGGCGGGAGGCGCCCGCTCCCAGGTGTCCCTGGTCTCCGCCTGCGCGGCGCAGGTGGCCGCCTTCCGCGAGGCCTTCGCGCGCGTGCTGCCGCTGGAGGCGTGCCGCGTCTGGTCGGAGGAGGAGACCCCGCCAGTGTGGGGCCGGCCGCCTCCGCCGCCTCCTCCTCCTCCTCCTCCGCCTCCTCTTCCTCCTCCTCCTCCTCCTCCTCCTCCTCCTCCTCCTCCTCCTCCTCCCCTCCTCCTCTCCCTCTCCCTCCGCCTCACTCCTCCTCCCCTCCTCCTCTCCCTCCTCGTCTCCTCCCAAACTTTGGCACACCTCTCCTCTCCTCCTCCCCATCCCCCCACCTCCCCTCCTGCCTCCCTTTCTCCCCATGCTCCTCCTCCCTTTCCTCCTCCTCCTCCTCCCCTGCCCTCGCGGCTTGGGGTTGGAGGGGCGGTGGCGGGCCCAGCCTCTTTTTCTTCAGGGAGTATGCAGAGGACCCTCTGGAGGAAGCGCTGCGGGAGGAGGGGGGGAGGGGGGGGCGTGGCTCCTCCTCCTCCTCCTCCTCCTCCTCCTCCTCCTCCTCCTTCCTCCTTCTCCTCCTCCTCCTCCTCCTTTTCCTCCTCCTCCTCCGCCTTTTCCCCCTCTCCCTCTACGCCGGGTGCCCCCCCCTCCTATTCCCCCCGGGCCACCCCCCGCCCAGGGGGACGGAGGAGGGAGGAGGAGGAGGAGGAGGAGGAGGAGGAGGAGGAGGAGGAGGAGGAGGAGGAGGACGACGACGACGACGACGAAGAGGAAAAGGAGGGAAGCGCAGGAGGGGAAGGAAGAGGACACCCAGGGCCACCTCGGCGCCGAGCTGTGCATCGTCGTCGCGCCGCCGTCTGGCGGAAGCGTTGCGGGTGGAGGGGGCGGGCGGGCAGGGGGGGGGGCGGGGCGGCGCAGGATGGGATGGAAGATGACACCCAGGGCCGCCTCGGCGCCGCGCTGTGCATCGTCGTTTCGCCGCCGCGAGTAGCGAGCTCCTGCCTGTCGGGGAGGAGAGAGGGATGACGCAGGACGCAGACGAGAACGAGGCAGACTACGAATCACGACCACACCTTCAGTGCGAAAGACATGACAATTGGCCAGCGAACCTCAGAGCCCGTCAGTATCACCCCAGCGAGCGAAGCACGGAGGGCGGTGAAGGATGGGAAGGGCGCGCGAAGACAGCGCGACCAAGACATGTATTGTAGAGTCATGGGTTCGACTGGTGGTCGGACCTCGACTTGGGGGACTCAAGGTCCCTGGTATCCCTCCCGCAGGATGTCCTGGACAGAATGGCTCTCCATGCGAGACGGGTGATAGGTGAGGGGGGGAAGGGGTGGGGATCAGGGGGGTGAGGACAAGGGGGGGGGGCCGATAAGAGGGGACGGGGCGGAGCAATGGAAACAGTCTCCCCTTTCCTCCTCCCCCCCCTCCCCCTCTGTTTCCCCCCTCTCTCACCCCGCTCCTTCTCCCCCTCCTCCTCCTCCTTCTCCTCCCTTCTGCCTCGTAGGGGAGTCCACGGTTGAGGCGTCGTCCTTGTTTTCTCACCTGGGCTTGGCACAGCCTCCAGAGTGTTGAGAGGCCGTCTTGGTCGCAACGCGGTTTCTTCGATGGCATCCCGCTTGAATCCCTTTCCCCCCTTCTCCTCTCCTCCTCCTCCTCCTCCTCCTCCTCCTCCTCCTCCTCCTCCTCCTCATCATCATCATCCTCATCCTCATCCTCATCCTCATCCTCATCCTCCTCTTCAACCTCGTCGTCCTCCTTTGCCTTCTACCCTTTGTCCTCCCTCCTCCCCCCCTTCCTTGAGATACGACGCCGCGAAAGATCACGACCGGAGCCCCAGACCCAACTTCCTGCACCATTTTTCGAGCCGGATCGATCTGTGAGGGTCCTGGGGCACGAGACCAGACGATTACACCCGGGGTGAAAGCAGATGCGACGCCGGGAATTCGGGGTTCCCTTTCTCCTCCCTCCTTCTCCTCCTTCGTCCTCCTACTTCTGTTTCTCCTCCTCCTTCTGTTCCTCCTCCTTGTGGCCAACTAGGGAGGGCGGGCGGAGCTTTGGAGGGCGTTCGGGCTGTGGGAGGGGGAGCCCGAGCAAGTCCGCGACCTCGGCCACCTGTGCCTGAAGCGAGGCGGCAAACACAGCGCTGGAGAGGGCTGGACCGCGCGTTTCGCGCAGAGCCATACCATCCTCCTCCGCCTCCTCCGCCTCCTCCTCCTCCGCCTCCTCCTCCTCCACCTCCTCCTCGTTCCCCTCCTCCTTTCTCCTCCTCCTCCTCCTCCTCCTCCTCCCTCCTCCTCCTCCTCCGCCTCCTCCTTTTTCTCCTCCTCCTTCTCCTCTCTCCTCCCTCTCTCCTCCTCCTCCTCCTCCTCCTCCTCTCTCGCTCCTCCTCCTTTCTCCTCCTCCTCCTCTCCTCATCCTCCTCCTCCTCCTCCCTCCTCCTCTCTCTCTCTCCTCCTCCTCCTCCTCCTCCTCCTCCTCCTCCTCTCCTCCTCCTCCTCCTCCTCCTCCTCCTCCCCCTCCCCCTCCTCCTCTTCTCCTCCTCCTCCTCCTCCTCCTCCTCCTCCTCCTCCTCCTCTCTCCTCCCTCTGGGGCCCGCGGTCGGCCGTGCCACCCGCGCGCCCAGGAGCTGTCGACCCTCATCGCGGGCGCCTCGGCGAGCGACGGCGCCTTCTGGACCGTGGAGCACATGGAGGCGCCGGGCCCGCCAGAGCGGCCAAGCCCTCCGCAGGGGGGCGCCCTGCGCCGTGCCCTGCTCCTCGAGTCCTCCTCCTCCTCGTCCTCTTCCTCCTGCTCCTTCTCCTCCGCCTTCTCTTCCGCCTCTCCTCCGAAACTCCTCCTCCGCCTCTTCCTCCTCGTTATCCTCCTCCTCCTTCTCCTCATCTCTCTCTCTCTCTGTTGCTTCTCTCCTATCTCCTCGTCCTGCTGCTTCTCCGCCTCTTCCGCCTCCTCCGTTCCCAAAAAAACACATCTCCCTCTGGCCTCCTCCTCTCCTGCTCCTCTCCTCCTCCTCGTTATCCTCCCGTGTCCTCCTCCTCCTCCTCCCTTCTCCTCCGTCATCCCCCCTCCTCCTCCTCCTCCTCCTCCTCTTCCTCCTCCTCCATCCCCCTCCTCCATCCTCCTCCTCCTCACCTCTTCCTCCTCCTCGTCCTCCTCCTTCTCCTCCTCCTCCTCCTGTCTCCGCCTCCTCCTCCTCCCTCCTCCTCCTCCTCCTCCTCCTCCTCCTCCTCCTCCTCCCCCTCGTCTCCCTCCGCACGAAGTGTCCGTATGCAGCATGGAGTATCCAATGGCCTGCGGTCAACCCCGCCACTGTGACTGGGTTGTGGGTATGGAACCTATTGGATGTTCGTTGGGATCTCCTGGGGGGCCTCTTGGGTGCCTATGGGAGGCAGTTTGGATGCCGCTTTGGGGCCGCTCAGGGCCCCTTAGGTTGGGCCTATTGGGGGCCTCTTGGGGCCTCTTGGGGGCCTCTTGGGGCCGCCTCCTCCGTAGCCATTTAGGTGCCAGACGGCCAGCTTTGTTGCTTCTTTTGTCTTTCCATCTTACTTGAGTTGCACTGGCTCGTAGAGCGAATGGAGGATGCATTTGGTTGGATTTCTAATCGGCGCCCCATATCTTGCAAACATTTCGGCGGCTTGCATGTGACAGCACGCTCCGAATGGCGCATCGGATCACCACCCGCTGGTAGGCGTCAGCACATCCGTGCTGCCTTCGAGGCCCTGCGGCGCCACGCCGAGACGCGGCCGGAGCAGTGCCTGGCGGCCTTTTTCCCCCCCGCCGTGCCGTGGCGCAGCAGGTTTTGGCCCCACGCTGCACGGCGGCGGGCAAGCGGGGGGCGCGCGGAGTTGTGCGCAGTGGGATGCCTCCGGCGGCCACGTCACCCCGAGTCCAGAGGCGTCCGAGCTCGAGCCCGCCCTTCCCCGTGATGTCTCCTGTGGTGTCGTTTTCCTCGCGGCTGCGGGCGGGCGTGGGAGGCCGCGCGGCCCAAGGCGGGATGGCGAGCCCTGCCTGCGACGCTCCTGCGCGACCGTGGGGACGATGCTTTGCGCCATCTCTTCGAGAAATTAGAAACGTGGCTCTTGCCTGTTTTGCCAGGGCATGCGCCCAGGCGTTCTGTGGATCGCATCCAGGACATCGCGGCTGCGGCTCCGCCGCGGGTGCTGGCGGCCGTTTCCCGTTCTCTTTTCAATGAGTGGATCCGTCGCGGCGTTTCCAGGGCCGCGGCGGCTGCATTTTCGGTTGCAGCCAGCACGACGACAGCATCGAACACTATGCGACGTGCACGTCGTTTCACCAACTGTGCTCGAAAGATTTGCGCCTCGATGCCCCGGCGTGCCCGGACAGATTGGTCGACTTTCTATGTGTACGTCCGTGCGCACAGTGTCTACCAGTGCGCCTTCGCGAGGAGGGTGCCGTTGCAGAGGCCACGGTGCTGGGCACCACTGGCGTCTAGGCCATGTACAGGCTGAACGCAGCGGTCTCACACGGGGTGGTCCCCCGTGCTGCCTTCGACGGCATACTCGGCGAGCTTGTTTGCGAGGGCATCCGGGGGGGCTCCCTGGACCACAGCGCTCGTTCTGGCCGCCCGCAAAAGGCCCCGGGCCTGATCGTTCTCAGCTGTCCTCCCTTTCTCCTCTGCTGCTGGCTCGTCGTCGTCGTCGTCGTCGTCGTCGTTGTCGTCCCCTCTCTCCTTCTCTCCGTCTCTCCCCCCCGGGCCCAGTCAGCTCTTCGTTCTCACGCGACGCTGATCGAGAACCTCAGATAATACAGTATACCACTTTTTCCCTTTGAGAGTTGATAATCCTTGACCAAGACAGAGTTGTTCGGGAAACAGAAACGGCCGAATTCTTTACGCTTCGCGTATCCCCACCAGCCCATCTCACAGCAGCAACTCTTGCGAAGCATGCCGACAGTCGTGTTGTTCAGGCGTGTGTCCGCTTGGCCCCGCATATCTCCCCTGTTCCTCCTTCCTCCCGCCTCCTTGTACATCCTCCTTGTGGGGGGAGCGGGAGAAGGACGAGGCGGAGGAGGAGGTGAGAGAAAGCGCTCCTCGTGATTTGAGTCGTTTGGGGTTTCTCGTCCTGGTGTGAGTCGTTCGGGCCCTTCTTCCTGGTGTGAGTCGTTCGGGCTCTTCGTGGTGTGAGTCGTTCGGGCTCTTCGTCCTGGTGTGAGTCGTTCGGGCTTCTCGTGGTGTGAGTTGTTCGGGCCCCTCGTCCTGGTGTGAGTCGTTCGGGCCCCTCCTCCTGGTGTGACTCGTTCGGGCTCCTCGTGGTGTGAGTCGTTCGGGCCCGCGTCGTGGTGTGAGTCGTTCGGGCTCCTCGTGGTGTGAGTCGTTCGGGCGCCTCGTCCTGGTGTGAGTCGTTCGGGCCCCTCCTTCTGGTGTGAGTCGTTCGGGCTCTTCGTGTTTGAAGTCGTTCGGGCCCCTCGTCCTGGTGTGAGTCGTTCGGGCCTCGTGGGCCTCGGGGCCTCTTGGGAGCCTCTTGGGGGCTCTGGGGGCCTCTTGGGGGCCTCTTGGGGGCCTCTTGGGGGCCTCTTGGGGGCCTCTTTGGGGGCCTCTTGGGGGCCTCTTGGGGGCCTCTTGGGGCCTCTTGGGGGCCTCTTGGGGGCTTCTTGGAGGCCTCTTGGGAGCCTCCTGGGGGCCTCTTGGGGCCATCTTGGGGCCTCTTGCGACCTCCTCAGATGCGCAAATGAGCGCTGCCCCCTGAGAAGGACAAAATGAGCCCAAAACCTTCGTAAAATCAATGATTTTGCTAGGAAGGAAGATGAGCGCGGCCCCCTCAGAAGGCCAAAATGGGGCCACAACCCTAGTAAAATCAATGATTTTGGCTTCAAAGAAGAGCAGAGGGGCCAAACTCCCTCCCCCCCTCGGGGCCAGAATCCTCGTGAGGGTCGTCGTTTTTTGGCCCTCCCAGGAGTCGAAAAAGGCCCCCTGACCCCACCCCGGACTCCGTGTCCAGGTCCAGGGCGAGGGGGTAGGGGGAGGGGTAAACCCCTCCCCGAAGGGGAAGATGAGGGGTTGAGAACAGAGTGGGCTCTCTAAACCACTCACGCCCAAAGGGCTGGTGGGATTTCAGTACCGCTGGGGAAAATACGAATCAAAGCTGTTATCCTCTTATGTTGTGTAGCAGCACTATCACGAATGCGTGGCACGGATATGGGGTTCTCACCGTTTCAGCTTTCCTGACTCATTCACAATTTCCGAGGCCATCGCTATACCATACTAACATACATACCATCGTGAATACAAGTTGCCGGGACGATATATTGATGCCCCCCCGAAAGCCGAGCTCCGTCATCCCCACCCTGTGATTATTAGGGGCGTTTGGTTACGCACCACTCGCGCTCTCGGAAGACATGCTGTCGGTCAGCCCGGGAACCGATACGTTTACCCATCGGTCGTTGAAAGTAGGTATTTCTGGATTCCCAGATTCCAATCTACTTTCAGTGCCTTCCTACTTCAAGAGTCGAGTGGTTTTCCCTCTTCCTTCCTCTGCAGGAGGCGGGCGGAAACCCAATATATGTCCTACTTCATGTTTCTACCTACTTCTTTTGACCGATGGGTAATGTGATATTATTATCCCGTCCCTTCTGATGTGTTTCTTCCTTCTTCTTCCTCCATCGCTCGTGTGCGTCCTCAGTGCGAGCAGCTGGCAAAGAGTCCCATGGAGTCTGCGCGCTCGCGAGCTGCCTCCTGCCCTGTGGATGCCAGCCCGTCCTCGGTGAGGTCTCCTGTTTGTTTCTGCTCGCGTCTCCTCCCTCCGTCCCTTCCTGTTCTTCATCCGTGCACGCCCGCGTGCTTCTGTGAGGCTTCGCCGGTTCACTGCATGAGTTTGCTTACTGCAGGTCGGCTCGCGCGGCGCTCCCAGGAGCTGCATGGGAGATTCGCCCGGGCAAAAAGTGCCACGGTTTTTTTTGTAAGTTTGTTGGCCGGTGTTTGTCCAGGGGGGCATAATGCTACCGCCCCAGACGCGTGGCATACAGATGTGTTGCCCGCCCCCATTTCCCCAACGCAACAGCCATAACGACGACAACTACAACAACAACAGCAGCAGCAACAGCAGCAGCAACAGCAACCATTTTTAAGACCGTTCGCTCTGATCTGCTCGCGTGCAATTGAATTACGTGTATATCCCAAATCCTCGATACCCGCCCTCTTCGTCTTCGATCGCGCCTCTTCAAGGGTACAGTCTTCTGACCTGCGACGTGCATCTCATGCAGCTCATTCGGTAGGGGAAGAGGTGGATTGAAGAAAAGGACCAGGGGGATGGAGCAAGATGGAGCACGCGACAGAGAAGTAATAGCAGGAGAGGGGGCAGGAGCAGAACGCACGTGGCAGAACCAGGCGGGCAGATCGGGCGGGTAGACCCTAACAGGCGGGTCGGGAAGGCGGGCCCAGGCTGCCAGGTCGAGCAGGCGGGGTGCTGAAGCGTGCGTCCTGCATGAATCGCGAGTCTCGAGGTATAGCGCGATCCCCAAGTAAATCGTTCGATTGGCCACAGCGAAAGCGTGAATCCCGAGTATCGAGGGCGCGGCGTCTGAATGATTTGCGAGGACGTCCCACGCGAGAGCGCAATTTATCCATGCATAGTGAAGAAATCCCGCGCGACAGCGCGATTCAGGAATACATTGTGAAGAGGTATCAGCCTAGGCGGGAGCCGTTATTGTTGCAACTCGGGGGCCAGGGGCCTTATTCTGAGACCCGAGTTGTTCCCGGATTATTATCATATATATATATATATATATATATATATATATGTGAACGTCCAGGGTGTTAATTCCGGGGGAAAAACAACACCCCACCGGAAAAAAGAAGCACGATGTGCCCTTGTGGGGGATCGTTTTTGTTTATGGTATTTTCTTTTTTCTTTTTTCTCAGTGGTGGGAGCTCAACAACAACAACACCAACACCAACAGCAGCAACAACAACAATAATAACAACACTCATTTCAAGAGTAATCGCTGTCGCCTGATTGCGCGCCACTTATCAAGTATATTCCAAACCGTCGATGCCCGCCTGCTTCGTCTTCGATCATGCCCCCTTAAAGGTATATGTTCTTTTCATGCAACGTGTATTTCGCGTAGCCCCAGAAGCAGGGGAAGAGAGGATGGACGAAAAGAAGGGACAATGGGCAAGACGGTTGCTGAAGCGTGCGTCTTGCATGAATCGCGAGGAAGTCTCAAACGAAAGCGCGGTGCCCAAATTAATCGTGAGTAAATCCACAGCAGGAGCGTGTTTCCTGAGTGTCGCGGGCGCGGCGTCTGAATAGATTGCGACGAAATCCCACTCGAAAGCGCGATTCTTGTATACATTGTCAAGAAATCCCGCGCGAGAGCGCGAATTGGGAATACATTCTAGGGAAGTATTAAGCGGGAGCCGCGGTTGTGGTAAACGCAGGGCGTAACAACCCAGTTGAGTGACACTTCGCTTTCCCTTGTAAGTAAAAAACAAGGCGAGCCAAGGGAGAAACACTTTTAATTAAAAATGGCAATGGTTACCGGACAGGGAGATCAATAGTGATTGTTTTGAGGACGGACAATCCAACAACAACAACCATTGCATTAACAACAATCATTTTGAGACGGCTCGCTCTTATCCCTTCGCGTGCCACTCAACACGTACATCCCGAAGCTTTGATACCCACTCTCTTCGTCTCCGATCGTGCCAGGCAGTGGAAGACAGGACGGATGGAAGGAAGGGACAAAGGGGCACGCGGATGAACCCCGCGTGCGTGCTGGTCCGCTTTCAGTGCCAGCTCGCGTGGCCGGCGCTGGCGCCAGAAAGCTCAGTCCCGGCGTGCCAACTCGCGGGCACCACATGTCGCGCTCCTCGCGTGGCTGCCAGCGCTGCTGGAGCTCATTCCCAGCGTGCCAGGTCGCAGACCCGCACATCGCTCTGCCAGGATGGTCGGCAGGGAAGTTCAATCCGTTCGCGCAGGCTCGCTTCGGGAGCGCGTCGAGTTGCCGATCTTGGTGCCAATATCCAAAGCGGCTCCGGAGAACCCTGGCTTTTCGAACCAGCATGCGCATGACAAACACGATTTCGTCGACCTCGTCTACTACACTGCTACTCCGCATCCTCACCACTCTCGCCTTCCATCCCCATTCTCCCCTGCTGCTGGAAGAACGCAGAACGCGGAAGAAATCCGCCGAACCATAACTGTTCCTCCTCCCTCCTTCCTCCTTCCCTCCGCGCTTCGCCTGCCCCCTCTCCTCCTCCTCCCTCTCCATCCTTGTCGTCACCATTGTCCTCCCCCTTCTCCTCCCCACCTTCCTGCTATTCCCTTCTCCTTCCCACCTTCCTCCCTCCTGCGCCACCTCCTGCCCTTTGTGGGCCCCGGAAACGGTAGGGCCGTTTTTTCACCGTTTCCAAAAAAATGTCCCTTGAGAATGGAAACGGCAAAAAACGGCGACCGGAAACGGCAAAAAAACGGTTCCAGGATTGGAGCCGGAGCCGGAATTGGTCAAACAACGGCGACGGAACCGGTAACAAAAACGGCGTCGGAACCAACAAAAAAATGGCAAAACGGAACCGGTAAAAAAACGGCCCTGAGGTTTCCAGGGCCCACTAAGCTCCTGCCCCCCAACCCCATCGGCCGCCCCTTCCCTGCGACGGAGCCGCGGCGGAAGGGGTGGGCTGCGCGGCTCGGGGGCCCCCGTCCTGCCGTCCAGTCGCGGGTCCCAGAGTCCGCGCCTGGCGGAGCCCCCGCGGCTGGCGGCGGGAGGAGGAGGAGGAGGAGGCGGAGGCGGAGGAGGAGGAGGAGGAAGAGGAGGACCAAGAGGAGAATCAGGAGGAGGAGGAGGCGAGAGAGGAGGAGGAGGATCAAGAGGAGGATCAAGAGGAGGATCAAGACGAGGATCAAGAGGAGGAGGAGGAGGAGCATGAGCGCGGGGCTCCCTGCGCGCGCGCCTCGGTGTCGCCGCGCGCCGTTCCTGGCGCCGCGCGTCGAGGAGCGCGGCGCTCCCCCCCAAAACGGCGCTGATCTCTCCGATTGTCCCCGCCCCCCCCTTCTCTGCTTCTCCCCTGCTCCCTCTTCCTATCCGCTCTCCTCCTCCTCCTCCTCTTCCTATGTTCCTCCTCCCGTCTCTCCTCCTCCCGTTCCTCATCCTCTCCCCCGTCTTCGTCCGCCGCCTCCTCCTCCGTTCTCTCTCCCTCTCCGTTATCTGGTTCTCCGTTGTCTCCTCCGCCTCCGTCATCTCTTCCCCCTTTCCTCATCTTCGTTTCTCTCTTACTCCCTTTTCCGTCTCCTTTTCCTCCTCTTCACCATCCTCATCTTTATAATCATCAGCATCATCATCAGCATCATCATCATCAGCAGCATCACAGCCATTTTGGCTCAAGCACATGCTTGAGGTGTGGCCACAGGGCTGCTCTTGCGGCCCCCCTGCGTCTGTCTTCTCTCGGTTCTTGGCCACTGCGATCCTGTGCCACGGTCTCTGCCGCGCGCCTCGCGTGGGCGATCATGGAACTTGAGGCCGGGCGGCAAGCTTCCGCTCGTGTGTGCACACCTGCCAGGACAAGCTGGTCGTACAAGTCGATCTGCTGCCGATGTACCCCCCTGCGGTCCGCAACGGCCTGATCGTCGGCATGCTGCGCAGGATTTTGGGAGACCTCGACAGTGCGATTGTTGTCGACCATGGCCACAGGGACTCCAGGGGTGTCTCGCACTTCAGTATTGTTGCGGTACCCCTTCCTGCTCATGCTGCTGTGGATGTTCCTCCCCATGCTCCTGATGGTGGTGATGACCTTCCTGGAGTTGCCGATCCTGCTGTTTGGGTTTTCGCTGCTCTCGATCGTCGGGGTCATCCAGGGGCTGATCCTAGTGGCGGAAACGGTCCTCGCGGAGTCCTTCCTGCAGCTGCTATTCACGGTGATGGTGCTCCTGATGAAGGTTCCGGGGCTGATTGCCAGGTTGAAGAAGATGCTGGTGTTCGAGATGATGTTCGTGCTATCGATCTTCGTGCTCTCCCTTCTGACCGTGGTGCTGGTGACGACCTTCTTGGAGGTGCAGACGATCGGGCTTGGTATGATCTTCGTGGAGGTGCTGGTGCCGTCCGTCGAGGAGACGACTCTCATCGTGCTGCTGCCGACTGTCGTGCTAGTGACGACGATGGTGCGGATGGTGTTCATCGTACTAGGGCCAACTCTCGTGGACCAGATTTCTGTGCCGGAGCCGAACTTCGTGGAGCTGCTGCCGATCGTGATCTTGCTGAAGTTCGCGCTTATGCCGTACTTCGGGAAGGTTCTGGTGCCGACCTCCCTGGTGACGGCGGTCAACGTGCTACTGCTGAACATCGTGATGATGATGCCCTTCTTCGAGGTGCTGACGATCGTGTGGGGTCCGATCTTCGTGGAGGTGCTGGATTCGACCGTAGTGGAGACGAGGTTCATCGTGCTGCTGTTGACCTTCGTGCTGGTGGCGACTTCCGTGGAGACGGTGCTGACACTGCGGAGGCCCTCGGTGGTGGTACTGTTTCTGACGACGCCGTTCGGCATCATGTATGTGTTGAGGCCGTTCTTTCTTCCGTAGGCGTTGCCACTCTGACCTCGCCGCCGCCTCACGAACAAGCCCGTGGCGACGACAGGGAGAACCATGTTGATATGGCTGAGCAGGCTTCTTCCTCCCTCGCTGCTTCTCTTGAGATTTCAGCTTTTCCGTCGATGGAAGAGCCTGCTTCCGCGACTACGCCCGAGGATGCAGTGGGCCAGCCTTCTTCTCTGCATGTCGAGGTTCGGAACGCGATATTCCGCAATATTGTGGAGTTGCGAGCCCAACTAGCAAGGATCGACTCCCAGAGACGCGAGCTGTTTTCTTTTCTAGCCAAGCCTGGAGGAGGTGAGGACCTTCGCGGACAGTCTCGAACTGCTTTGGGC